CGGGTGCAATAGGGGCTGTGTGTGATGCTGGGTGCTGGACATGATGCAGGTTTGGGAAGATGTCTCCAGCGAGCCTTTTGCCTGGTCCCGTGGGGACTCTGCCTCCCCCCCAGCTTGTTGTGCCTCCTCCCAGCCCTAGCTTTCTGTTGCTCTAAAGTTTTTGCAGGGAGGATTTTGTCAACAAAATTATGAAGGCATTACTTACGGCATTACCACATGACTTTGCTCAGTAAATTGAAGAAGTATTACCTTTTATCAGAATTTTTAACTGAACTATTTCTAAATAATATTACCTCTCCCAGCAAAGCCTCTGTCATGGCTCCCACCCCTGTATCCACCTTCATCTACCAGCCAAGCCCATGGGGGTCTGTAGGACGGCAGACAGGCCCCAGAAAAGAGGGTGCTGGGAGAATGGGGATTCCTGGTCCCCTTCGACCAGGGCCGCTCAGAGCCCTGCAGCTCCCACTGGGTTTCAGGGAGGGGAAGAACTACAGCAGATGGAGGAGCTCCCTTGAAACCAGAGTTTCCTCGAGCCATCCGCCCAGACCCAGCGATGCCACATACCCTCTGCCTGGGCACAGCCCCATCCCGCAGCTCTGCCCCGAGCCCTGCCAGGCTTTCGGCACCCAGACAGGCTGTTTGCTCAAGGAAATTGCTGGTGAAACTGGTTCTCCTGCTTCTGCACATCTACATTTCCTCCCAAGAGGGAGGTGGACGCTCAGGACCCCAGGAGGTGGATGAAGGGCTCCGGCAAGTGGGGGATGTCTCCTGGCCCTACTCGTGGCTGCGAGGTGTATGGCTGCTGTGCAGGGAACGGACTCATCTGCCCACGTTAAAAGGAACCGGTGCACCACAAACACTGCTTTCATGGCGAGCAAAGCACCACCCGGTGCGGTTGCCTGTGCTCTGCTCAGTGGTGTCCACAGGGTGCTCTCACCAGCTTGGCCCCAATCTCCAACCCTCTGGGGCTGTGCCCATCTCAGGAGCAGGGCTGAGTATGGTCCTGCCATCCTTTCTAGGACAAGGTCCATGGCACATGGGTGGCTGAGAGCTCCTGAAGCTCCAGAGCACCAGGGCTGCTCCAAGGCCCCCTCCTTGAGGGCTCCTCGAGGGACCGGATCCCTGAGGTGGGGCCACAGACCATGGGAGGGACCATGGGACCATGTGTCCCTGTGATGGCACACATCCCCACCTGCCTGAGTGCGTGGTCCCACTCACCATGTTCGTGAGGGGTCTGTTGCTCTCAGAAGCTGCGGTGGTGGACCTGGAAGCATTGCAAAGCTTGCATTTGGCATGTGGCCCCACCCGCACCCCAGTTCCCTACTGGGACAAGCTCCAGGCTGGATGCAGACCTGGGGCACTCCCATCCATCCCTTCTTTCGGCAGCCCAGGAGACCCTGCCCGGCGACTGCTGCTGTGTCAGCTGAGCCCCAGCAAGGTCTGTCCTTCACTGCCCTTGTGCTCACGTGGACCAGGGCTGTTTCCAGCTGCGCTTGCCCCAGGCTGGTGGCAGCAGGTTTGCCAAAGGGCTGAGACCGGCAAAGAGACCCAAATTCCTCGGCACGGAGACAGAAACAGCACCTCAGACAGTCCCGCTGCCTGGGATGAGCGGATGGAGTCACCGCAAGCCGAGGGAAATCACAGCTCCCTCCCAGCTGGGAAATCATTACCTGTCCTTCTGGCGTGAGAGGCGATTAAGATATTATCACAGTACTTCTGGAACTATTTCTTTACTACAGAAGAATCAGGAAAAACAAACTGAAGAGTTGCTCAGCCTGGGTTTGGAGGCAGGAGCCGGAGGGTTTGGTTGGCTCTGGGTGCACACAGCCACCGCGCAGTGCCGTGTGTCCAGGAGGGACCGGGGCCGGTCAGTGCCTCTCTGTCCTGCGTGGGGACAAGTTCTCCTTGCTCAGGAGAGCCCTGGCCCAGCCACTCTGCAGTCAGCGGGGGATTTCCAGGCCTGGGAAGGTAGCAGACACTTATTCACCCTCTTTCAGTGAAGCCATGTGAGTCCAAAGGTTATGTGTTGTGTGGAGGTGGGAATGCAGGAGTGGTGGCACCCTCTGGGCTCCAGGCATCCACCCACCAGCACACGAGCCACTGCAAAGGAGATTGCCGTGGGAAGAGGGACTGGCCTGGAGGTCTGAGCCCCGGCCGGCCGGCAGCAGGGTACGGCACCGGCACCCAGCTCGGTGCAAGCTGCAGATAGATGTGACTTGAGGCAGAGAGCACCTGGGGACTGCTGCACCCCCAGTTTCACGGGGTGGTACTTTCAGTGCACACAGCGGGACCTCTGGAACCACCGTCCCTCCGGCGGCAGGGGAAGGTGCTCTGGGAAGGTGGCATGCAATGGGGGCTCCCCCAGCATTTCCCTTGTGGCATTGCTGTGTTTGACTCAGCTGAGATAAGGCAGCTGGGAACGGAATCTTTCCATGGAGATCGCCCTTGTGATAGCCCTGGCAGCCTCTTATCAGGGAGCTGCATCGGCAGGAAGCAGCTTCACTGTATCACCCAGAGAGAGCAGGTCCCCACGTCCACCAGCCCTCCCGTC